TAGAAAACTTACCTAACCTTATTATAACAAGAACAATTTATTTTAGCCTAACCCAACTAAATATATTTTAGATTTGTTTACAATAATTTAATACTAAACAAACACAGTGAAATATATTTTTTTCGTTAGGTTCAGAATGATTTTGGCGAAATTATTGCATACACAAATTTTCGCTTGTCTTACATGGCAAGATGAGCGTTGCTGTTTAAGCCAAGATCGCAAGTTCTGCCTATTCGGCACGACATATATATATATATAATATATATATATATATATATAAATATCAAACCTAATTACCAACCATTTCCCAGAGGTTGTATGACTCCTAAGGGTTATTGGTGCACCGCAGTGTAATACTCTGGAACTTTCTTGAGTGATCGTTGTCAGGATGCGGAACAAGCTCAGGACTCAGAGCTGTCTTCGCGAGAGTCAAGATTCAGCCAGTGACAGTCTCTTAAGCTCCTTCACTGGATATCGATGTTTGGCCTATTGAGTCTCATCTTTTTAAGCTGTATATCGAGTTCTCCTCCGTCAGTGCTTCATCCAACTGTTTTTCACCTTTCAACTACCTTACATCTTTGTGGCTCCTCTGTGTTTTCAGAGTCCACCCGTGTCCTGGTCCTTTTATTTCAAACAATCTGCCCTAACAATTCCTCTTAATATTTTGTGTTGTCATCATGTCTCACCGTGTGTGTGTACTCACCTAATTACTCACCTAATTGTGGTTGCAGGGGTCGAGACTCAGCTCCTGGCCCCGCCTCTTCACTGATCGCTACTAGGTCCTCTCTCTCTCTCTGCTTCTTGAGCTCTGTCATACCTCGTCTTAAAGATATGTATGGTTCCTACCTCCTCTGCATCACTTGCTAGGCTATTCCACTTCCTGACGACTCTGTGACTGAAGAAGTACTTCCTAACATCCCTGTGACTCGTCTGAGTCTTCAGCTTCCAATTGTGACCCCTTGTTTCTGTGTCCCTTCTGTGGAACATCCTGTCTCTGTCCACCTTGTCTATTTCACGCAGTATTTTGTATGTTGTTATCATGTCTTCCCTAACCCTCCTATCCTCCATTGTCGTCAGTCCGATTTCCCTCAACCTTTCTTCGCAGGACATTCCCCTGAGCTCCGGTACTAGCCTTGTTGCAAAACTTTGTACTTTCTCTAATTTCTTGATGTGCTTGACCAGGTGTGGGTTCCAAACTGGTGCTGCATACTCCAGTATGGGCCTGACGTACACATTGTACAGTGTCTTGAACGATTCCTTACTAAGGTGTCGAAACGCTATTCTCAGGTTTGCCAGGTGCCCATATGCTGCAGCAGTTATCTGGTTGATGTATGCCTCCAGAGACGTGCTCGGTGTTATGGTCACTCCAAGATCTTTCTCCTTGAGTGAGGTTTGCAGCCTTTGTCCACCTAGCCTATACTCTGTCTGCGGTCTTCTTGGCCCTTCCCCAATCTTCATGACTTTGCATTTGGCATGGTTGAATTCGAGAAGCCAGTTGCTGGATCATGTGTCCAGCCTGTCCAGGTCTCTTTGTAGTCCTGCCTGATCCTCATCCGATTTAGTCCTTCTCATTAACTTCACATCATCTGTGAACAGGAACACTTCAGAGTCTATCCCTTCCATCATGTCATTCCCATATATCAAAAACAGCACTGGTCCTAGGACTAACCCCTGTGGGACTCCACTCATCACAGGCACCCACTGTGATACCTCTTCACGTACCATGACTCATTGTTGCCTCCCTGTCAGGTATTCTCTGATCCATTGCAGTGCCCTTCCTGTTATACGCGCCTGATCCTTCAGCTTCTGCACTAATTATTGTAAGGAACTGGGTCGAAGGCCTTCCTGCAGTCCAGGAAAATGCAATCAACCCACCCCTCTCTCTCGTGTCTTACTTCTGTTACCTTGTCATAGAACTTCAGAAGGTTTGTGACACAGGATTTCCCTTCCATGAATCTGTGCTGGTTGTCGTTTATAATTTTGTTCCATTCCAGGTGCTCCACCACTCTCCTCCTGATAATCTTCTCCATGACTTTGCATACTATACACGTCAGAGACACTGATCTGTAGTTTGGTGCCTCGTTTCTGTCTCCTTTCTTAAAAATGGGGACTACATTTGCCGTCTTCTGTACCTCAGGTAGTTGCCCAGTTTCAGGGGATGTATTGAAGACTGTGGTTAAGTGGTACACACAGTGTCTCTGCTAGTTCTCTAAGGACCCATGGGAAGATGTTGTCTTGACCCCTCGCCTTTGAGGTATCGAGGTCACTTAGCAGCTTCTGCACCTCCTCCTCCGTTGTTTGTATGTCATCCAGCACCTGTTGGTATATTCCCTGTTGGTGTTCCCCTCTGTGCTGTCTTCTCAGAGCCTTTCCTGTCTCTACTGTAAATACCTCCTTAAATCTCATGTTGAGTTCCTCTCATACCTCGTGATTGCCTCTTGTGAGTTCCTCACCTTCTTTCCTCAGCCTGATCACCTGGTCTTTGACTGTTGACTTCTTCCTATTGTGTCTACAGCAGTTTTGGGTCAGACTTGACTTTCGATGCTATGTTATTTTCATACTGTCGCCGGGCCTCCCTCCTTACTTGTGCATACTCGTTCCTGGCTCTTCGACTAACTCCTTATTTTCCTGTGTTCTTCGCCTTCTGTACTTTTTCCATTCTCTGTTGCACTTAGTTTTTGCCTCCTTACACCGTTTGGTAAACCAGGGGCTTGTTCTGGTCTTCCCATTATTTCTGTTGCTCTTGGGAACAAACCTTTCTTTTGCCTCCTTGCATTTTGTTACATATTCCATCATTTCATTTACCGACTTTCCTACCAATTCTCTGTCCCACTAAACCTCTTGCAGGAAGTTCCTCAAACCTATGTAGTCCCCCTGTTTATAGTCTGGCTTTTCCCATTCAACTCCTGTTACCCTCTCCACTTATAACTCTACTATGTATTGAAAGCACAGAACCATGTGATCACTAGCTCCTAGGGACCTCTCATATGTGATTTCCTTACTGTCTGAACTGCTCAGGGTGAACAGAAGGTCCAGTCTTGCTGGTTCATCCTCCCCTCTCCCTCTGGTAGTGTCCTTAACATGTTGACGCATGAGGTTTTCCAGTACCACATCCATCATCTTGGCCCTCCATGTTTCGGGACCCCCGTGTGGCTCCAGGTTTTCCCAATCGATCTCCCTGTGATTGAAGTCACCCATAACTGGTAACTTAGCTCTGCTCGAGTGAGCTCTTCTTGCCACCTTAGCCAGTGTGTCCACCATTGCTCTGTTGCTCTCTTCATATTCCTCTCTTGGCCTCCTGCAGTTCTGTCATGGAGTATACATCACTTCAATGACTACCTTGTGCTCCTCAGATTGAAGTGTACCTACTATGTGTTCTCTTTTGCCAATCTCGTCCATGCCTCCCATTTCCTCAAATTTCCATCGTTTTTTTACGAGCAGTGCAACCCCTTCCTTCCCCTCTGCTCCTATCTTTCCTCAGGATCTGGTATCCTGGTGGGAAGATTGCATCTGTTATTGTCTCACTGATTTTCGTTTCTGTGACTGCTATGATGTCTGGGGACTTCTCATTGATTCTTTCATGCCACTCCTCATATTTGTTTGTAATTCCATCTGCATTCGTGTACCAAACCTTCAACTTGTGCTCCAAAACTGTGGTCCTGGGAAGATATTGGGGTTGGGAGAGCAGGAGCCCTGCCGGGGGCCTACGGGAGGTTACAGTGGGGGCAGAGTTCCCATAGGGGGTTGCTGTAGATTTGGGGCTCGTGGTGTGAGGGGTGGGGACAGAGGGATCCGTGTGTGATTGTTGGTTTAGATGGTTCAGTTGCTTTGGAGTTGTCGTGGTTGGAGTCCTTCTGCAGGTGTTTCTCAGGGGGATGTTTGCAGTTCTGCCTGTGTCTGGGTTATTCTGCTTTTCTTTATCACTTCCTCCCATTCCTCCTTTCGTTTTTGCACTCTTTCAGTATCCTCCTTTCCTCTTGCATTCGGTCTCGATCGAGGTACACACTCTAGAATTCCAGTTTGTCCCTCAGCAATGCTTTCACCTGCAGGATCATGGTTCGAGTTGATTCTACCTTGAAAATTACTTTGAGAGACCGCTTCCTTCTCCTTGCGAACCACCCAGTTCTCCGAAAATTTGCCACCTAGGTCATGTCGCCCTCGCCTATTGCCTTCATGGTACCTTCAATCGCTTTTATCTCCTCCTGTTTTATTTCATCATAGGTTTTCCCTTCGGCTTCCTGTGCGTGTATGTGTGTGTGATCTAGTGAGTATATATTTCAGCCTGGTAGTGTATTCCAATACTATATTGCTCCTTACAGGTGGGTGTTGTGACGCCACAGGAAGAGGAGCAACGTCCTCTAAGGTCAGTCACTCTTCCATCTCGAGTAACCTCCAGCATCACGCTAACTCACTTGACTATGATAACTGTATATGATCATAGCTGAGTAGATAAACTCAACAAATATTTGAGCTATTATTATCACCTAACTGAAGGAACACAAGGAATTCTACAGCTTCTGTTAAAAACTTAATTATATTCAAATTCATTTTTTTTATTTCTTTGCATAGTATACAACATGTGATTTACACCTTATAAAATATTGTTAAGCACAGAGAAAGCCACTAACATGCCTGAGCATTTCTGGCAGACTAATCCTTATGCTTACATATTACTTAAAACTAGACATAGGTTATTGAGTGGTAAATTTTAATTATTCATTATTTTACATTATTACAAAAGAGACGTAGCCAAAAATTTTATAATTAATAAGATTTACAGTAGAGAGGTAGCAAAAATTAAATAGAAGTATTATAATTAGTACAATTTACAATATCACAACAGTACAATTTTAAGTGCGTACCTCAGGGAAAACTCAAGGTTCTCCCCGGAGCTGTTTGAATATTTTCTTCTCCTACCACCTCCTATAATCTATATTCTAAGTGAACTTTATTAATAGACAGAATACATTGACAGAAAAGACAAAAATGAATACATTGGTACAATATATCGAAGATTATGAATCTCATCCAGGATTTTCCCTCCAGAAGCCACGCTGAGGCGCTGGAACATGAAAGTGGCTGCCCTTGGGTTCCTGGTGGTGTCGATGAGTCTGGAACCCAGTTCTTTAAGGAAACATGTGACATTTTTTTCCCATGATCCCACGGTCTCTGATCCCACTGGAACATACTGATACTGTTGGCTTATGTCCATATACTTGCCGATATATATATATATATATATATATATATATATATATATATATATATATATATATATTATTTATTAACACATCGGCCGATTCCCACCAAGGCAGAGTGGCCCGAAAAAGAAAAACTTTCACATCATGGCCCGGTGGTCTGGTGGCTAAAGCTCCCGCTTCACACATGGAGGGCCCGGGTTCGATTCCCGGCGGGTGGAAATTCCGACACGTTTCCTTACACCTATTGTCCTGTTCACCTAGCAGCAAATAGGTACCTGGGTGTTAGTCGACTGGCGTGGGTCGCATTCTGGGGGACAAGATTAAGGACCCCAATGGAAATAAGTTAGACAGTCCTCGATGACGAACTGACTTTCTTGGGTTATCCTGGGTGGCTAACCCTCCGGGGTTAAAAATCCGAACGAAATCTTATCTTCTTATCTTATCTTATCCATCACTGTCTTGCCAGAAGGGTGCTTTACACTACAGTTTTTAAACTGCAACATTAACACCCTTCCTTCAGAGTGCAGGCACTGTACTTCCCATCTCCAGGACTCAAGTCCGGCCTGCCGGTTTCCCTGAATCCCTTCATAAATGTTACTTTGCTCACACTCCAACAGCACGTTTAAGTATTAAAAACCATTTGTCTCAATTCACTCCTATCAAATACTCTCATGCACGCTTGCTGGAAGTCCAAGCCCCTCGCACACAAAGCCCCTTTTATCCCCTCCCTCCAACCCTTCCTAGGCCGACCCCTACCCCTCCTTCCCTCCACTACAGATTTATACACTCTCGAAGTCATTCTGTTATGTTCCATTCTCTCTACATGTCCAAACCACCTCAACAACCCCTCCTCAGCCCTCTGGATAATAGTTTTGGTAATCCCACATCTCCTAATTTCTGAACTACGAATTCTCTGCATTATATTCACACCACACATTGCCCTCAGACATGACATCTCCACTTCCTCCAGCCTTCTCCTCGTTGCAACATCCATCACCCATACTTCACACCCATACAAGAGTGTTGGTACAACTATACTCTCATACATTCCCCTTTTTGCTTCCATGGACAAAGTTCTTTGTCTCCACAGACTCCTAAGTGCACCACTCACCCTTTTCCCCTCATCAATTCTGTGATTCACCTTATCTTTCATAGACCCATCTGCTGACACGTCCACTCCTAAATATCTGAATACACTCACCTCCTCCATACTCTCTCCCTCCAATCTGATATGCAGTCTTTCGTCACCTAATCTTTTTATCCTCATAACCTTACTCTTTCCTATATTCACTTTTAATTTTCTTCTTTTACATACCCTACCAAATTCATCCACCAACCTCTGAAACTTCTCTTCAGAATCTCCCAAAAGCACCGTGTCATCAGCAAAAAGCAACTGTGACAACTCCCACTTTGTATTTGATTCTTTATCTTTTAACTCCACACCTCTTGCCAAGACCCTAGCATTCACCTCTCTTACAATCCCATCTATAAATATATTGAACAACCATGGTGACATCACACATCCTTGTCTAAGGCCTACTTTTACTGGGAAATAATCTCCCTCTCTCCTACATACTCTAACCTGAGCCTCACTATCCTCGTAAAAACTCTTCACGGCTTTCAGTAACCTACCTACTATACCATACACCTGCAACATCTGCCACATTGCCCTCCTATCCACCCTGTCATATACCTTTTCTAAATCCATGAATGCCACAAAAACCTCTTAACCCTTATCTAAATACTGTTCACCTATATGTTTCACTGTAAACACTTGGTCTACACACCCCCTACTTTTCCTAAAGCCTCCTTGTTCATCTGCTATTCTACTCCCCGTCTTACTCTTAATTCTTTCAATAATAACTCTTACCATACACGTTACCAGGTATACTCAACAGATTTATTCCCCTATATTTTTTGCACTTTCTTTTTAGCCCCTTTGCCTTTATACAAAGGAACTATGCATGCTCTCTGCCAATCCCTAGGTACCTTACCCTCTTCCATGCATTTCTTAAATAATAGCACCAACCACTCCAAAACTATATCCCCTCCTGCTTTTAACATTTCTATCTTTATCCCAACAATCCCAGCTGCCTTACCCCCTCTCATTCTATCTACTGCCTCACGAACTTCCCCCACACTCACAACTGGTTCTTCCTTACTCCTACAAGATGTTATTCCTCCTTGCCCTATACACGAATACTTTTTATTCTTTATCTTCCCTATCTTATATAATTATATATATATATATATATATATATATATATATGGGATGGGGTCCACCTCTGGTGTAAATCGTGGGACCCCTAGCCTCGGAAAAGTGGATAAAAAGGCCTCAAGGAAGAATATTTGGATTTCTTCCTGAAGCCGTTTGAATATTCCACTTCCCCTACCACCCCATCTTTTAATATATTTTTTTTTTACCAATAGAAATATTTTATTACATATATGGTACAGAAGAATTAAGAGATACATTGTTGACATAAAGGTGGCAAATAAGGTACATGTTGTTACGTGTGTATCACCGATTATAAGGCGAAAATCTCATCCAGCTCCTCAGAGCTGGGGCGTGTGCCCAAAATGCAGCAGGTATTACCCCTTTGAACAGCCGCACTGAGCCGCTGGAACAGAAAACTAGCTGCCCTGGGATCCCTAGTTACCCTGATGAGTCTTTTTCCCAGATCCTTAAGGAATTTAGATGCACTCTTTCCCCATGAGCCAAGGGTCTCTGAGCCTATGGGAACAAACATATAATGATGGGCAAGTTCTCCATATTTTCTAGACTTTTGGGGCTCCCTGAAGCTGGCAGCTGCCCCTCCTTCCTCCCTGGTGTATTGGAGATAGGTATCAGCCAAGGTAGATGCACATGTATAGTCCCACACCACCTGCTTCCCATCTGTCCAGGCTTGAAGGGTGATACCATCTGGACGCTTCTGGCTGCCATCAGATTCTGCATAGTTGGGGTGGCTCCCTTACTGCTGGGCATCCAGCTGTTGTGAGGCTCCTCTTGATAATGTTATTAACCTCCTCATGTCTTGCAATCTTTCCCTCGGATTTACGGCACACAAGACCATGGTACCCGAATCGGTCTGCTTCTTCACTACCACAAATACACCTGTGTTCGGCGAGAATAGGGGCGGCAAGTCGAAGGGCAACACCGATGCGGATGGTCTGTGGGTCGAGGCGTGTGCCAAGGCTGGAGTTGGGAACAGCCAACAAAATGTCCCAAGCATGAGGGGCTCTCACTGCCAGGAGGCGGGCTCTATCCTTCCCTGACACACTCTGAAGCATTGTTGAGGCTATATTTTCCACTATTGGACCATCCCAGTGCGATTGTTTGTAGTTGTTGGGGGGAGCAGGTCTGGTTTCAGAGCCCGTTAGATTATTCCAGATCATTGCTCCGTCAATGAATTTTTGGTCCTGGACTCCAATCTTGTCCCTAAGATGTTCAGGGAGAATCGCTGCTACAAGCTCTCTGGATGTAATACACGAGGACAGAAAAGCAGGTAACGCAATCTGTGATGACTTGCGGACACCAATGCCTCCTAGTCTGACTGGAAGTGTAGCTTGTTTCCACTGCCCGTCTTCTAGAGTAAGGTTAAGTAATTTCGTAAAAATCTGCCTCAGAATACTGTCGTATTCGTGCAGTATAGGGTTATCATATGAAGGTGCACATCTTAGGAAATATGTCAACCTGGGCAGACTCAAGCACTTTGTGAGAAGGCACAAGGCATCGTGGGTGTCCAGATTGCCTATTCATTGTTCCATTCTCCTTAACTCTTCCAATTTCTTCCTGAGAATTGTGTCAATGGCATTGCTTCCCAGAGGTGCTCCTAGCAAGACACTATTTGTGGGGGCAATGACTGCTGCTCCTGGTAGTTTTGATCTCACTGCATTTATCACTTGTTGACTGACTGAGATGATTTCACATTTGGATGGATTCAGGATGAGACCCATTTCCTGTCCCCGTGTCATTACCTGTGTAAGGTCATGTAGGAGGGACTCCTTTGTACCTGCTAGTGTGCCATCATCTAGGAACCAGATGTTTAGCTCGCTGATCAGTCTGACTGTGATTTCCCTAACTGCTATACAGAAGAGAAATGGTGCAAGAGGATCTCCTTGTTGGACACCCTCCGATGATGTGATTTCATGCTCTCCAAAGAGAAGCATTGATTCCTTGCTATACCCAGCTGAAACAAAAGGGAAGAGACCAGGGAAATGTTCTTGTAATGCTGCTAATACCACGTCTCTTTTCAGAGATTGAACGCATTCTTGAAATCTAATTTTACCACTGCATTGTCCTCAGGCAGGTTGTTGATATACGCCCTTGTTGCATGAACCTCTGCTTCACTTCCTTGAGAGACCCCAAAGCCAAGCTGGTTTGGTTGAAGCATCATGGCTGCCTGTGCACGAATACTATGCAAAACAACCACTGTGAAAGAGTAGTGAAATTCCAAGCGCTTTCGTGACTACTCACATTGTCAATGCGAGTAGTCACGAAAGCGCTTGGAATTTCACTACTCTTTCACAGTGGTTGTTTTGTATATTTTAAATTCAACCTGTTTACTGGTGTATAATATATATATATATATATATATATATATATATATATATATATATATATATATATATATATTATATATATATATTATATATTATACAGTTTTTTAATATATTTTATAATAATATATTATAATTATAATGTATAATGTTGCAGTTTAAAAACTGTAGTGTAAAGCACCCTTCTGGCAAGACAGTGATGGAGTGAATGATGGTGAAAGTTTTTCTTTTTCGGGCCACCCTGCCTTGGTGGGAATCGGCCAGTGTGTTAATAAAAAATTATATATATATATATATATATATATATATATATATATATATATATTTTATATATATATATATATATATATATATATAATATATATATATATGAATAAAGATTCGGTGAAATTTCAAATATACAAACACGATCTCTGCTGAAAGACTGAAGAACCTTAGACAAGGCGCCGTGCTACCAATTATCCCCAAGGAATATTGAAATGCGAAGTTGATCCAAGGAAGCTTTCAAGGAGAAGGCCAGACTTTCACTATCAATTCAGCACACAACGGTTGAAAACAAGGAACGCGAGCTGCGATACCAACTACATGATCTCTGCTGAAAACTCACCAACCCCAGACATTATTGTCCAGTGCTTTTACAATCTACCCACAACTATTAATATAGCTGGATTCTAATTTGGTCTAAAATAAGGGTATTTCAATTTTGTCTCAAAACATTTTTTATGGGAACAAGATTCAAGTTTTATCATGTCGAGCAGGAATTGCTTGACACACTTTCTCAACTTTTTTTAAAATTCAATTGATGGTTAAAAATATAATTACTGGAGGTGTATAGGTGGCATTGCCTTAATGCCTTATGAAGTCGTAAGCTATTAAGACATTAAATTCCATTAAAACTAATCCCCTAGATGGGTTCAGAAGGAAGGTTCCACATTCCAAAGGGCTGCGGAGGCTTCGTGGATTGTCTACCTGACGGAGAAGGATTGAGGGCTCGTGAAGGATCCTGCAGGGGCCGCGCCTACCATCCCACCCTCAGGAAGTGTGTCACCTTGAATAAAGTAAGTATGGCTCAGAGAGTGAGTTCGTAGGTGAGTTTGGCTTATGGTGTGCGCTTGTAGAGGAGTGTGGCGGCTTAGTGTGTCAGCTTGTGAATGTGGCTCAGGGTGTGGACCTGGAAGTAAATGTAACTCGCGGTGTTAATTTGTAAACTAGTGAACATTTAAAGTGTCAGATTCTATTAGATGAGTTGCTCACAAAGTTATATTGCATGGGACGAATGCATTACATTTTCTTCTTTCATTCATAATACGTGAATTAAGAAACCTGAAGGTTGTATGTCATGTGAGGTCAGGGAGAATAATTGCAGTTTCTACCACAGACGGACGAGGCTGCATGTGTTGTGTAGTCAGGATGAGTGAAGATGTTTTGTACAAGGACAAGGCTGCATGTGATGTGTCGTCAGGGTAAATGTTTGTGATTCGTTCCACAGGTGGCAGAGGAAGCATGTCATGTGTAGTCAGGGTGTGTGATAGTGGTTCCTACCACAGGTGGAACAGTGTTGGGTAGTGAGAATGAGTGATGGTGGTTCTTTCCACAGGTTGATGGATGTAAGCCTCGTGCCGCCAGAGCTCTCGCCAACGATCCCAAGTTGGACTATGTTTGTGAAAACTCCACAAGTGACTTCATGTGTGCCGACTGCAAGACACTAGTCCTCTGTGTCAACGGTACAGCATATCCAGAGACTTGCGGTTCTGGCGACTTGTGTAATATCGATAATGACCATTTTGGAGGTGGTGTGTGCTACCCTAACCAACCTTCAGATTGTTCTTGCGATGCACCCAACCAGTTCAAGGAAGATTCTTACAATGAAGCTCGCTTCTTATTCTGCGAGGCCACAGGTTCGGACCCACAAATCTTCCAGTGCCCTGATGACCATGTTTTCGATTCCACAATGAACCAGTGTATACATTACAACGGTCTACCGGAGTGCACCAGCATTGGTGTCTTTGCAAATTCCAGAAACTGCTCCCAGTTCTACAACTGCATTCCCACAATTGACGGCTGGGTACAGAAACCCTTCTCGTGTAACAATGAGACTCATAAGCATTTAATGTATAACGAGGCAGCTGGTAGCTGTGAGGACCCATGCACCTGGGGCAACGGAAATTTTAAATGCGAGGAAGAAGGTCGCTTTGCCGACCCTCTCAACTGCCAACGATACTACGAGTGTGTGAAAGACACAAGTGAGGCATCAGATTTCCGCCAGGCTCTACACGAGTGTCCAGAGGGCTACGAGTGGGACCAATCAGCGAGAAATTCTTACGGTCATTGTGTGCTAGAGGGCAATAGCTTAAACCCGTGTGTCCCTGCTGTTGCCAACAAGTGCAGTGTGGATAGGAGTCAGTGTCCCAGCACCACTGAAGAGCCCGATGATACCACTGACCAACCAACCACTCACCAGCATGAATAAGACCTGGACAAAGACCAGTCTAATGCCTTCATGACCTGACCTTCACTCACTCCTAGCAGAACGTTCGTTTTTGTTATGTAGAATTGTAGTTCTTTGTTGTCTATTTATTCATTGTTGGCTGAAATATATCACAATCACCTCGTGCAAAAATTGTTTTACGCACCTTGAGGTCTACCTAGTGTCCCTGACCTATTTTATATACACCTATTTTATATATACCTATTTTATATACACCCCACATTACTGACAATCCTGGGAATAAAGATAAATACAACTCTTAGAGCATTTAATTAGGAGACTTTCACCCACCGTTTTTTCAATCTAATGTAGAGAACAGAAAGTCACATAATATAATTATTGAACATGCTTCTCTCAAGGGAGGTTCCTTGATGCCTGAGAGCTCTTGTAACCTAGTAAGCTTGTAAGCTAGTAACCCCTTTTCCCGTATAGCTTACTAAAAATAAAAAAACTTTAAGTTGGAATGCTTGAATGAGTGTGGATGTAGTGTGGATGACAAGAAAGATGATTGTGTATGTTTTGAATGAAAAGAAGATGGATATCAGGCTCTAAGTGAAACAAAACTAAAGGGAGTAGGAGAGTTTCAGTGTGGAGGAATAAATGGGTTTTAGGTTTCTAATAGAGTTAAAGCTAAGGGAGGAGTAGTAATAATGGCAAAGGATCAGTTATGGCAGGACAAGAGGGAATATAAATGTATAAATTCAAGGATTATGTGGAGTAAAATAAGGGTGGGATGTGAAAAGTGGGTTATAGTAAGTGTTTCTGCATCTGGAGAAGAAAGAAATGTAGAGGAGACAGATTTTGGGAGATGTTGAGAGAGTGTGTGTGGAATTTTGACCCAAGTGAAAAAGACTATGGGACTGAGGGATTGACCACCTCAAAACTTTAAGGGTGATGGACTGATTACATCGTCTTCAAGTATCTTCTGCTTCTATCAACTTTTCTGTACTCGACTCGAAATAAAGATACCTGACTGTTGCATATGTGTCTTACCTAACAACAAGTGAAAAAGTGGTATAAACCTTGGTAATAAATACCGACAAGTTGGTTTAGAAAGACACGTAAGCAAACACTATAACATATTTATTAGAAAACGTTTCGGTCCTGGGACCTTGATCACTTCTAACATACAGAGGTAGAAAGACATTATATATAGGCGGAGAGTGAGATGTGACGCACGTGACCTGAGGAATGTCATAAGAACATAAGAATGGAGGAACACTGTAGAAGGCCTACTGGCCCATGCGAGGCAGGTCCTTATCAAAACAACCTCTGCCTATGATGAGGACCAGTAGACGATGAAATCATGTGACTCCTGTGTTGTTGGGTTGGTGCTGCTTAAGTATCATGTATGCCAATGTTTTTGAAATTTTGTAGTTTCCAGTGTTGCGGCGATTAGTGAGGCTTCTAGGCACCGTCAGCGTCTGAGGTCTGGTTCGGTGAGAACGAGTTGTGCTTCATTCCAGTTCATCAAATGTCCCGTGGAGTCTCTGTGGAGGACACAGGCGTACCTTACATCGTCTCTGTTAGAGGCATTTCGATGCTCATTCAAGCGGACTGAAAGATCTCTGCCTGTCTCGCCTACATATTTCTTGGGACAGAACCCACAGGGGATAGTGTAGACGCCTGCTGTAGAAGTTAGAGGTGTGGGGCTGCGTTTCGTAGTGAGGTCTTGATAGATGATGTGTTTATGGTGGAAACGTTGATGTTACTCATAGCAAGTGCCCGGCGAGTATTCGTGGCAACATCACCACATGGGAGTACTATGAACTGCTTGGGGGGCTGTTCCATGGGCGGTTTGTTGAGAATAGCTTGTGCCTTAAGTCTGCAATCTCGGATGAAGAAAGATGGGAACTGAAGACGTGTAAAGGCTTGTGTTATGTAAGTGCATTCTTCTTCTAGAAAACAAGGGCTGGAGATGCGAAGAGCTCTCAAGAAGAAGCCAATGAGGCCTCCTCTCTTAGTGCGGGTGTCTTGGTGTGAATAAAAGTGTATAAGTTCGTCCTTGTTGGTAGGTTTTCTATACACTTTGAAGAGAAGTTTGTCACTGTCGGGAGATCTGCACAGTAGAACGTCGAGGAAAGGAAGTTTGCCATCATTTTCGAGTAACATCAACGTTTCCACCATAAACACATCATCTATCAAAGACCTCACTACGAAACGCAGCCCCACACCTGTAACTTCTACAGCAGGCGTCTACACCTATCCCCTGTGGGTTCTGTCCCAAGAAATATGTAGGCGAGACAAGCAGAGATCTTTCAGTCCGCTTGAATGAGCATCGAAATGCCTCTAACAGAGACGATGTAAGGTACGCCTGTGTCCTCCACAGAGACTCCACGGGACATTTGATGAACTGGAATGAGGCACAACTCGTTCTCACCGAACCAGACCTCAGACGCCGACGGTTCCTAGAAGCCTCACTAATCGCCGTCACCGACACTATAGAACGCAACACTGGAAACTACAAAATTTCAAAAACATTGGCATACATGATACTTAAGCACACCAACCCAACAACACAGGAGTCACATGATTTCATCGTCTACCCGTCCTCATCATAGGCAGAGGTTGTTTTGATAAGGACCTGCCTCGCATGGGCCAGTAGGCCTTCTACAGTGTTCCTCCATTCTTATGTTCTTATGACATTCCTCAGGTCACGTGCGTCACACCTCACTCTCCGCCTATATATATAATGCCTTTCTACCTCTGTATGTTAGAAGTGATCAAGGTCCCAGGACCGAAACGTTTTCTAATATGTCATAGTGTTTACGTACGTGTCTTTCTAAACCAACTTGTCGGTATTTATTACCAAGGTTTATACCACAAGATATGATACAGCACATAAAGTAGTGTTAGATTATGTATTGGTGGATACAAGGTTGATGGGTAGACTTTAGGATATGCATGTTTATAGAGGGGCAACAGATATATCGGATCATTATTTAGTTGTAGCTACAGTTAGAGTAAGAGGTAGATGAAGCAAAAGAAAAAATGTCAACAGCAAGTGAGAGAGGTGAAAGTTTTATAAACTAAGTTAGTTTAATATGTTTATTATGCACCCCATACCCATCCTGTGGGCGGTAGTCATAAGATTACAGAGGTACATAATGGGTCCAGGGACAGGGCCTCAAAGTTTTGATGGCTGAGCAAGTTACAGAGGTAATGAATTCACAATTTACAAAGGTAATGAACTCCAGGTAGGTCTAGTCACAATCATGACAAGTTACAAAGGTATCAACAGATTATAGAGGTACACAATGGGTCCAGGGACTGGGCCCCAAAGTTTTGATGGCTGAACTAGGTACAAGGTAATGAACTCACAAGTTACAAAGGTAATGAATACTGTAAGAATGGTTACTTGCGTTTATACATGGCTACAATCATGAACAATTCACAATTCCACACCCGGTCACAACTGTAGTGAGTTATTGGTGCAAATATTGATTGTTGAGTCACACACACACACACACACACACACACACACACACACACACACACATACGACGACATACATACAGATGAGGAGGAGGTGAAGAAACTGCTAAGGGACATCGATACCTCAAAGGCAATGGGACCGGACAACATCTCTCCGTGGGTCCTTAGAGAGGGAGCAGATATGTTGTGCGTGCCACTTACCACAATCTTCAACACATTCCTGGAAACTGGGCAACTACCTGAGGTATGGAAGACGGCAAATGTAGTTCCCATTTTCAAAAAAGGAGACAGAAAAGAGGCACTAAACTATAGACCTGTGTCATTGACGTGTATAGTATGCAAAATTATGGAGATTATCAGGAGGAGAGTGGTGGAGCACCTGGAACGGAACAGGAGTATAAATGCCAACCAGCACGGATTCACGGAAGGCAAATCCTGTGTCACAAACCTTCTGGAGTTTTATGATAAAATAACAGAAGTAAGACAAGAGAGAGAGGGGTGGGTTGATTGCATCTTCTTGGACTGCAAGAAGGCCTTTGACACAGTTCCTCACAAGAGATTAGTGCAGAAGCTAGAGCATCAGGCGCATATAACAGGAAGGGCACTGCAATGGATCAGAGAATACCTGACAGGGAGGCAACAACGAGTCATGGTACGTAATGATGTATCACAGTGGGCACCTGTGACGAGCGGGGTCCCACAGGGGTCGGTCCTAGGACCAGTACTATTTTTGGTATATGTGAACGACATGACGGAAGGGTTAGACTCAGAAGTGTCCCTGTTTGCAGATGATGTGAAGTTAATGAGGAGAATTAAATCTGATGAGGACCAGGCAGGACTTCAAAGAGACCTGGACAGACTGGACACCTGGTCCAGCAAATGGCTTCTCGAATTTAATCCTGCCAAATGCAAAGTCATGAAGATAGGGGAAGGGCACAGAAGACCACAGACAGAGTATAGGCTAGGTGGCCAAAGACTGCAAACCTCACTCAAGGATTATTATTATTATAATCAAGGGGGAAGCGCTAAACCCGGAGGATTATACAGCGCCTGGGAAGGATGTGGAAGGCATTCAGGCTTAATTCAGGGAACTGGAGCACAGATCCAATTCCCTAAATCAAGAGCCCCTCACCAACATCAAGGAACACACATACACAAACTCATACACACACACACATACACAAACTCATACACACACACACTCATACACACACACACACACACACACACTCATAACATACACACGCACACAAACACACACGCACACACACAAAAGGAGCTTGGACTCGACCCCTGCAATCTCAACTAGGTGAGTGCACACAACACACACACACACACACACACACACAACACACACACACAGCCACACACACACAAACACACAAACACACACACACACACACACACACACACACACACACACACACACACATGCACATATGTGGTAATGCTTTATTTACAGCTAGCAAAGTCAGGGTATTTCTCCAGAATGGTCTGTAATATACCACTGTGGATAAAATACTTAGCCATTTCTTGAACACTTCTGAGTGAGTTGTTTCGAAATTCATTAATTTGATCACACTCCAGTACATAATGACGCAGGGTGTGACAATAGTCCATCTGGTAAAGTTTACATTTCGTTTGGTCTACATCTGGTGGTGGTGATTTAACCTGCCAAAGATACTTGTAACCCAGCTGGAGCCGGGCAGTAGTGACATCCAAGAGTCTGCTTATTTTGTTGGATGCACCACAGACTAAGGGAGGAGAAAGTTAGGGCGAGATATAAACAATTAATGGGAGAAAGGGAGGTTAATGA